CCGCTCTCCAGTGTGTAGGAAACCTGACCTTCATCATCTGTTTTTTATATTTTGGAAACGTCAGCTTCACTTCCTACCTGAGGGAAGTGGGGGTGGGGGAGCAGGCCGCCTGACTCCACCCCTTTCCCTGTACCCTCTCCTTTTCTGAATCCATCCCCTCCCCCAGCTCCTTGCCCCAGGGAGGACAGACCGAAGCCTTCCCTGCCATGGGTCACTGTGGCTTTGGAATGGTCTTCCCTCTGCAGTTCACCGCGGGGTGGGGAGGCAAGGAGGCCTCTTCCGATCGACCGCTGGTTTGTTGATTTGGGAAAAAGTGAAAATTCCAGACACAGAGAGAGCCCAAGAGGCTGGGAGATTTCACCAGTGGAAACCAGGATGGAAAGTAAAGCCATTTCTGCCTCTAGGCAGAGCTAGTTAGTTGTCTAACATGTTGTCACTGATGTTTGTTTAATGTTATCATATTGCATTATACATGTGTGTTATAGCTACAGACTCCACACACCGAGGGCTTAGCCTGTGCCGGGCACTTTATATGTCTTCACATTTCATCCACTCAACTTTACAAGGAAGGTGCTATTTTTATCCCCCATTTTCCTCAGGAGAAAATGAATACATAGAGAGGTTAACTAACTCACCCAGAGTAACTCAATTAATGAAATTTGAACCCCAGTTTCTTGGACTCCAAGTCCCAAGCCCTTTGCTCTACCTCCAGGTTCCCAAGACCTGAGAAATGTATTTTGTACATTTCCTTTTAAAGAAAATAAACCACAGAATTCTGAGACTAGGTCTTCAAGATCTCAGAGACCCATACATCCCAGCTGGAGAAGCACTCTCTGTAACTCACTACTTTCTGGGAGACCTTGAAGAACCAGCTAGCAAAGATTACGTGGAAAGGCTACAAGCGGGCATTTCAGGAAGAGGAACTGGGAAGGCCACTGGGGAAAACGCTAATGACGGCTGCAAGTCAGGAGACTGTGCAGGCAGCAGCAGGAGGGGGTGCATCTAGCTCTGTGCAGGGAAAGGGCTAGGTGGAGGGCTGGGGCCAGTTTCCAGAGAGCTGAAGGCTGCAGTTTGGTTTATTCTCCAGGTTTTTGAGCAGCAGAGTGATACTCCAAAAGAGGTATTTTGAGACCTGAGATGGAGGGAAAAGGTAGACAATAAAGAGAGCTGAGGAGAGGTTGGTACTACAATCCTGGCAGATTAGGACGACCTGACAAAACATGCAGAAAGGGGGTATCTAAAAGAAAAATTTAGTATTTTGGAGTTAAGGCCCTGTGCCTCCTCCGGAAGGACTGCTGTTCAAGTTTGGGGGGGGTGTTGTAGACAGAGAGGGGAAGATGGAAAACTTGGTGTGTCTGCAGCATGGAGCCCTCGCACTGGCAGACCCCGGTCTGAGCGCTGCTGTGGCCCCAAGTGAGAGCTGCAGGAGGGTTCTACTAGTGGGGACAGCAGTCAGGGCTCTGAGCTGGACACTGGCCTGAGGGCTTTGGCCTGGGAGGCCCAGGCTACTGGCCCTGCCAGGTCTTGGGGCAGAATGGATGGACACACTGTAGGTCTGGATCCTGAAGCACGCTTTTGTGTCTGTTCCAGTTATTTGAAATGATGATTCCACTCCTTGGGTGGCAAAAAAAAAAAAAAGACAAACAAGCAAAATTTGGTTAAGAATTCAAGAAACTGCCAATTCAGAAACTCTAATCTGTTCAAAAAGTTCAATCCCTTTTTTTCAGAGGCCAAAAAACTATTTCCATCAAAGATTGTATATGTCTGCATGTCTGAGAGCTGGTGAGGGAGACAGAGTGAGTGTGAGAATGAGAGTTGAAATGCCTTTGTTCCCGTGTGCAAGGCCACCGCTCCGTGGGCTCATGTGTATGCATTGTATGTACGTACATTCAGGCCTGTTTCTCAGGCCCTGTGTGCATCGAACTTTCAAACCATAACAGAAACACTGAAGCTTGGCAAAGATATCACAGGAACAATTATCTAATTTCAGAACATGTTATTATAATACCTACACGATGTGTAACGAACTTAACAATGTTCACGTTATATTTACCAACTCTGAGTTACAGATCCACAATGCTATATCCTATCCCAAAGGCTTCTCCAAGACCCTAGAACAGAGCAGGCCCCAAAGAAAGCTCTTTAAGGAATCCCCCCCCACCACACACACAATGGCTTCCTCTTGGATGAGGAGGTTTGGCTAATAGATATGAGGAGGTCTCTGGAAGTAGGACAGAGCCTATCATGGGATGGCAACTCTGTCCTCCAGGAATCCCCATTTCTCCCCAGCGGAGGAGCCCCTGGAACTGGTAAGGAAACAGCCATATTGGGGTCACAGAAGCAGCCAGACTTTCTCTGCCTCAGCTGTGGGCCAGGGGGCCTCATGATCTGCAAGACTCCCCTTTTCCCCAGAGGGCTGGATTGGACTGTGGCTGAGTGTAAGGGGAATGTTTGCTGTTTGCTGCTGCTCCCTGTTGACTTTAGCCAGTAGCTCTGTTTACAAACCCAGGTTGGTTTTCCCAGCACAGTTAATTAGACCAAAGACATCTGGTGTGAGGGCTGGGGAGGGCATCTGCTCAGAGCCTTCCCCCAACACCCAGCAGCCAAGGGCCAGCACAGGGCAGAGCAGCTAAACAGGACCAGACCAAACTCCCCCAAACCCAAGGTCCTCAAGAGAATCGTGGCTTCTCTCACATGCTTGCTAAGTTACACTGGTCCCCAACCCTCCAAGTCTCAGGGGACCCCAGGAGTCAGGGCTGGACACCCCTGCGTCAGTGGGGCTGACTACAGGCTGGAGATCAAGGACTCAGCGCTCTCCTCTGTCCTTGAAGGTCCGAAAAACCAGGCAGAGATTCCTGTCCCCTCTCTCATCACAGATTGCACTCTGCAGGGAGGACAGAACTCTTCAGCCTCCTGGAGGGAAGATTTTCTAGGCCCTCCACCTCTTCCCTGCCTCCTCTCCAGCCAATCTCTGACACTGCGGGGAGGAAAGAGATTAACCAGTAGAGGACAAGAGGGAGGCCGGAAGGTGCCAAGGAAGGTGGAAAGGTCTAGGTGGACAGTTCCAGGGCAGTAAGGAAGAGAAGCGTTGGGGGGCGGGGGGGGGGGGCGGCGGCTTATCTCTCCCAGGAGGGGGGAGTTCACTACAAACAGCTAATGCACTGGCGTGTGAAAGCTCCTCAATTAGCACTAATGATGCAATCAGGGAGGGAGGAGGAGGGGCCAGAAGTTCTGGTGGAGTCAGCACCTACTTACACACAGGGTACACATTCCTTTCTTTGGACACAGTGGCCCCTTCAGACACACTAATGCACACACACTGGACCACGCACGTCCGTGGGTACAAATGCAGTCTTTGCACAGACTACTAGCACGCATATGGTTCGTGATCTGCTGCTGACCGCGTCTGATTGTAAGGGTCCTGGGAAGAGGGGCTTCAGGGACAAGGAAAATTAGAAATCAAAGACTTGGTAGAGAGGGTTTAAGAGGGCATCTCCGAAAACCTCATGATTTTTCCCCTGATCCCAGAGTTCCCGTTCCACGCGCGCTCGCAGGTGCCAGCCCCTCAGCGCCAGTCTCCCCCATCCTCCGCCCCCGAATCCGGTACTGGGCGAGAAGCCGCCTCCCGCAACCCGATCCGCGCGCCTTCCCTGCTCCCAGTTAGCCCCAAGGCCCCGGGTCCCAGGGAGGGCGCTCTGGGCTCTGGGATCACGCGGATCCCCAGCACCCTGGACCCAGCTGCTCGTGCCCTCTGGAGCCCGTTACCCTCTGGCCTCGCCCCTTCATCTTCTCCCCAACCCTGCCCAGCAGGCTCCGTTAGCCGCCTCTGGGTCCCGTTATCCGGCCGCCCCGGCCCCGTTATCCGCCCTTGCTGGGCCCAGAGGCCCCGCGCGTCCCGGGGCCGCTGCCGCCCCCTCCCTTTCTCCGCGGCCCGAGATC